CATAAATGTCTCTGATCGTGATGGAAACCTTTTAGTTATCCAGATTCCGAGGATATCAAACATGTTACCTAATTAGATATAGTGATTAACGTGTGTAACCTTTGGTTATTCTTAATCATCACTCTACCTAGGCTATGCATTGGCAGTAATTTTTCTTGGAACTGATTAAAACCATAATTATTACTTTCATTTAATGCTCCTAATAATTATGTTTATATGTGTTTATTTTTTATTTATTTTTATCCCACTTCTAAAACACTATAAAGCACACACTTCACTTCACTTCCACATTTTAGAAACCTTAAACCCTCTTTTTCTCTCAAACCGTTCATTAAGTTCTCTGTGTTCATCATCTTCATAAACAATCTTCATCAAGATCATCACCTTCATCAAACAACCTTCGTCATCTTCAACACTTCAACGTGATGAATGCTCAACAACAAGAGGCTCTTCAGTTTGCTAAAGAAATGGAACAAGCCCTAAATCCTTATGGGCCGTCTTCTTCAACTACTCCAACCAGTTCTTCTTCTCCTATGGTAACCGGTTCATCTTCTCTATCCGTTATTGATGAACACCACATAACACAGAAATATGTTCAAGTTCACTGTAATATGAAACCACATGAGTTAAATGTTCTGTGTGAATATATGGTGGATTTCAATAAATTTTCCACAAATGGTGTAAACCTAATTGCTGACTTAAATTCTCAAGGATGGGAGAACTTATTCATGTGTCTTTATGGACCTATTTATGATTCTTTGGTTAAGTATTTCTAGATTCAAGCGGATTGTGACAATCTTCATGTAGTTGCTCGTGTGTTGGGTCTGAAAATTGTCATTACTGAAAAGTCTATTGTTGATCTTCTGGGCATGTAACATCTTGAAGGTAAATGAATTTATAATATGCATATAAAATCTATATATGTGAAGGAGACGATCAACAAAGCCATCTTCAAGAATTACTCTCTTGAGAAAACTGAGTGTAAGAGTAAAGATCTCCATGATGAACTCAGAATCTGGCACAAAATCATTCTGAATTGTATCAACCCCAGACCTTCGTCCAGTTATTCTGACTATTTCAACGTAAATCAGAGGTACATGTTGTACTACTTGATGACCCATCATAAGATGTGTCTTCCAGCTCTTCTGTTTTATTAATTAAGAGAATCTTTTATAAAGACCAGAACACTGATGATCCCAAGAAAAAGGTTTCAAACTATATTCCTTTTGGACGTCTCATCACTGACATCCTGGTAGAAAGTGGCTTGGTGAAAACTCTGGTTGAAGAAGCTAAGTTTACAGAGGATATGGCTTCTAGTATTGGAGATTCCTTCAATGTATAGACTCTGAAGAATATGAGGCTAATAGAGGAAGTGATTGCTAAACCTCTACTTGTTCCCTCTAAAAGCATCAGAATCTCAAGAATTCATGTGAATAACTACCCTTTGTTTACCAAGGGAGATAACATGTCTAGCATTGCTATCTACGTCAAGATAATGGAAGCAGAAGGATATGGTATGTCTAGTTTCAACTATTTTGATTTACCTCTTGCTCAAGAGTATGCTGACTCTTCCAGAGGTAAAAAGAAGAAAAGTTCTTATACTTCTGAACCTGAGAAGAAGAAGAATAAGAAGAAGAAGAAGAAATCTGATTTCCTTAAAGATGTTATTCTGGGTACTGGGACTTTTGAATCTGCAAGTAAGTCTACTGTTTCTGGTTCTGCTATTCCTTTTTTTGTTATTGTTTATAATATTGTTAATGCTACTTCAACCATTCCCTCATCCATCTTACAAACTTCATCTCTTACAACTTTTTCTCTTCCACCACCCACAAATATCTCAACTGTATTTGATACTGTTTCAACAACAATTTATTTCACTTCAAATATTTCTGCTTCACCACAAACCACCACAATTTTTGAATCTCAACCTGCCACCACCACACTCCCTTCAACAACTCAAGCACCTGCTTCAATCATCATTCCATCTCTCACTACACACATTTCATCAGAACCTATTCCTACATTCACCCTAACCATCATTACTCCTGTTTATGAATCTACTACACCACCACTATTTACTCAATCATTATTTGATTTTGCCTTTTTCAACCTAGCTCTAATCCATATTGACTCATCCACTATTCACTTTGATCCTCATTCATCTTCTGATCATGAAATGCCTGAAAGGACCATTTCTGACCATTTAGAAATCTCCACTACCAAACCATTCAGTTTTTCTGAAATCATTGATCTTGTTGACCAATAATCATCTGAACCACAACCATCTGAACTCAATATTTCTGACCAACCTCTTCTGAACTCGCTTTAATTTTTTATGAAAAGCCTGTTTCAAAAACCTTGGATGAATGCATTAACATGTTTAGAATCATGGTTAAGTAAAAGGTTGCAAAGCTAAGGGCAGAGGCAAATACTAGTACTAAGCCTCATGACAGTGATGTTTTATGGAAGTTGTTTCATAAGTGAATGTTTTATGAGTTTGAAAGGTTGAAGACCTTCTATGAAGCATCTAGAATTGATGTTGTTCAGACGATGATAGAAAGAGAGGAAATAATTAAAGTCTTCCAACTCATTTCTAAGAAGCATGGAGAAGTTGAAGCTAGAGCGCTCCAACAAGCAGAAGAAGCTAGGCTTAAGTCTGAGGAAGATGTTAGAGTTCTTGAGGAAGCCAGGTTGGCTCTGAAAGCTGAAGAGGTAGAAAAGGAAAGACAAGATGCTTTGGTTGTGTCTTCTTCTGATCCTGTCATTGGCATTTGGAAAATGCAATTGGTGAGATTAGAGGAGAACAACAGATTTTCAGAGAAAGCATCATTGAACAGAAGGTTGTCAAAGAGAATGTTCAAAGTATGCTGAAACTGATTCTTGACAAGATATCTGCTCCGACACCTCCTACATCTGGACCCTAAGCTCTTAGCCTCTTATTTTACCTTTTGCTTTTAAACCTTAGAACTTTTGCTTCTTATGTTTTGCTTCTTATGTTTTCTTTTCTGACTTATGATCTTCTAATTCTTAGTGAAGTTTATTTTGGTTTATCACTTCTTATTTTACTTGTTATTTTACCTTTTTGATTATGACAAAAAGGGGGAGTAAATAACTGAAAGTAATATTTTGATTCTGATAATCAAATTCTAGAAAACGTCTCTGAAAAAGAGCTGCTTACATTCTAACCCAGTTAAACTTTTGTTTCTGTTAGAATTGTTTTCTTTTTCCGGAATTATGAACTCTAATTAAAGTCAAGATTTGAAAGTGTTAAACAAGGCTTTTGTCTAACTTTTGAATTCAGACTCTGAGAAGTTCTAAAGTTCATAATCAGACTATTCATAACCAGGCTCTGAATTGAGAATCTGGAATTTGTCTTTGTGACGCTATAGGTTCACAATCTCAATTGACTTGATTGGTATCAAGACTCTCAAGATCTCAATATTTGATCTATTAGAACCAGGGGAAGTTCTACTCAAATCGTTCAGAATCATGATATTTGATCTTCATCAAGTCTTTGAGTCAGGGGGAGTTTCATAAAAAAGGATAAGTATTCCTTACCTTTCTTATTTTACTTTTTCTGATTAAAAAACTAACTACAAATCAAAACACAAAAAAAATTGAAAAACTTACCAAAGTGGAATTGATTAATGAGAATGAGATGTTTCGATGTTATGAGATGATGGATAGGAGGAGAAAAAGCTCCATTGATGCTTCAATGTAAAAAGAGATGTTTCAATGGTTGAGAGAGAGAGAGAGAGAGAGAGAGAGAGAGAGAGAGAGAGAGAGAGAGAGAGAGAGAGAGAGAGAGAGAGAGAGAGAGAGAGAACATGTTTTTTTGAGAAAATTTTTAGAAAATGGAGAGGGAGGAAGGGGGAAGGATTCTGGCATGGGATATGTATCAAAAGTATTTGGAGATGCATCTCTGGATCACCAGCATGTTTTTTGAATAAATAATGTTTACAGAGATACATCTTTGTACGCATTTTTTTACATATGGAGATGCATTTCTGAATTATATTTTAACGTCAAAGAGACATATCTTTAGTTTAATCAGAAAAATAATAAAAATAAATATGTACAAAGATGCCTACGTTAGAGATATGATGGATTTTTCAAGGTGATACCAGAGCTTCCATAAAAATGAAAAGTGCCTTCCCAAAAACTACTTAAGAGAGAACGAGATTCCATTCTTCTTCCTTTTTTACCTTTTTACCCTTGGGAATATAAGGACCAAATAATTACTCCCATACGAAAGTTTTGATTTCATTGGGCAAAGAAGTGCATGAAGCACCATTTCAACCCAATAAAAAGTGTCCTATTATAATAAGTCGGGACATGTGAAGTTCTTAACACATAGTACTATTACTCATTATAGGCTTAAATAGTAGACAGGTTCTGAGAATATATACACGTCACAATAAAGAGAAACTAAAATCTACCCGTTTATTTTATTATTGATGAATATGGTAGAGCACATAATTGAATGGAAAGGAGAAAGATCCAATGCAATAAATAATATCAAGAGGAGAAACCTATTCTCCACAAGGCCATAATCTCAAATAACAGTTTCTAGTCTTATATTTATGACCATAGTAACTAAGGAAGATAGAACCATTGAATGCTTCTACCCTCTTTTTCTAAGCCAGTAATGAGGTTTTTTAGTTCACACACCATCCTCTTCTTGTGCAATCAATGAAACACAATTTTCATGAATGGTTCATATAAATCTAATTTTGATGGTCATATAACCTCAAACAATTGTGCATAAATTTATATATTTAATCAGTATTCACCAATATGATATACACATATTAATGATATCAACTTATTTCATTAATCAATAGCACAACACTCATGGTTCTAACTAAATAACACAATACTACAACAATATCTTAAAACATGCACTAGCACAAACACATATGGTTCTAACCAAATAACACAATACTTAGTAAAGAAGTTCATCAAATGAATTATTAATCTTTCTGGATGATCATCATCTTCTAATCAATCTTCAATCTGCTATGATCGTACCTCACAAAGCCAAGATAATCATCATGAATCCAATCATACTTCTCCTTAAATGGATTATTCAGTGAAGGCGGAGGATAACTTTCAATAGAATCAGTCCAAACATTGGTATCAGATAAATCTCTCATCACTTCCCAAACACAATTGTTACACTTAAAACCAGCTCCAAGACTTATCATCAATATTCTATCACCTTTTTTTAGTCTTTTTTTTGCTTCCATATACCCTAAAACATACCATAATCCACCAGCAGAAGTATTACCCCAACGATGAAGCGCCATTCTAGCTGGTTCAAGATCATATTCATTCAATCTTAAACCCTTGCCAATTCCATCAACCACTGCTTTACCACCAGGATGAACACAAAAATGTTCTATACCAGTTTTTAAATTTATTCCACCTCCTAACACATTAAATATCGGTTTCTTATCCATTTTACCGCTGTGTTTAAAAATTAGTGAAGAAATATTTTCCAACCAAATTTTTTTCACACCGTTGCGTAGACAAACTGTGAAAAACCGTACCAGTTCCCAAAACGGAAGAATCTTTGGAACCATACTTTGCAGATTTACTGTCAAAGCTTTTGCTGCAGATTTAACAAGACTTTTGGTTAGTCGAAAACCTGCAAAACCTTCTTCATCTTCCACTTGTATGCAACAATTGTAAGCTTCATCATCAGCACCAAACTGTGTTCTCTCCATGTGTTTCAGTTTCAAGATAGCTTTGTTTTTCAGCTCCATTTTGTTTGTGAATAGCATCGAACAACCACCTGAACGAAAAAGACAGTTAGATAACATCATTTCTTTGTGTTTCCCACAGTACCAATGAGAGCCAAGATCTTCTGTGCTAACAACAATTCCTAAGGAGTTTTCATGTGTTTTGAAAAGCTGTTGCACAAGATCAATAGCTACAACACTTGCACTACACCCCATTCCTGCAAGATTGAAGACTTTTACATCTTCTCTCATTTTGTATCGGTTTATTATTCTTGCTGTGAGTGAAGGTATTGGTGAAAACAACGCAACATTAACAACAAGAATATCTATTTCTGAAGGAGAGAAACATGTTCTTTTGAAAAGGTTGTCGAGTGTATCGAACATGATTTCATCTATTTCTTCATATGTGTCTTTGAGAGTTGGACATGTTTCTCGTCCTTCAAGAACGATTTTTGGACAGTAAGTGTTTTCACCGATTCCCGAACTAACCATGGTTTTTAAGAGAAACCTGAATTCCTCTAAACCAAGGTTTTTGTTTCTTAGGATTATTTTTACAGATGAATCTGTGTTGAGTTTTGTTTCTTCCTTTGGTTTGAAACACTCATAGGCTAACATGTAACATGATTGGTTTCTACGTTTAAGAATCAACTTGACAAGTTTTGAAATGGAATAGAATAAAGAAAAAAGACATAAAATCTTTAAGAGAAATTCCATGACTGGTTCAAGGGCAAGTGTTTCTCTATAGATGGTTAGTTGGTTACACACTTGCAAATGGATATATAGCTCTAACAAGCTGATTGGTATTCAAAGGTTTCTTTATTTCATTTTTTTTACTCATTTATCAACTGTGATAAATTTATTGATGTTACTTTTTACTCATACCAATTCTGATCATCTAACACATTAAATATGGATTCATTAAGAGTGCATAATGGAATAGGAAAAAGAAATATCCAATGCAATAAATAATGTCATAGAAGGTCAAGAACCCTATTTTTCAAAGGGCCATAACCTCAAATAAGTAACATTTTCTAGTCTTATATTTATGACCATAGTAATTGCGGACGATGGAACCACTGAATGCTTCTACCCTCTTTTTCTAAGCCAGTATTGAGGTTTTTTAGTTCACGCACCATCCTCTTCATGTGCAATTAATGAAATGCAATACTGGCTTTCAATGAAACGCAATGTGGTGGGTGAATCTTTGGAACTATACTCTGCAAGTATACTGACAAAGCATGTGCTGCAGATTTAACAAGACTTGTGGTTAGTCGAAAACCTGCAAAACCTTTGTCTTCTAATTGTATGCAAACAGTTGTAAGCTTCATCATTAGCACAAAACCTTGTTCTCTCCATGTGTTTCAATTTCAAGATAGCTTTGTTTTTCAGCACCATTTTGTTTGTGAATAGCATTGAACAGCCACCTGAACAAAAAAGGTAGTTATATAACATCTTATCTTTGAATTTGTTAAGTATGGCTCATATTATTGAAATTATTATGGGTTGTTGTGATAGATATAAGTTGTTGAGAGTAAAACTTATATTGTTATGATAGTTATGGATAGAGATAATTGTTTGTTGACGAAAATTAAAGATTAAGGTTTTAGATATATGGCGTGTAACACTTTAATTCAATCAATTCACAAGACATAAATAAAGGGAACTATACATATTCTATAGTTGCAGAGGTAGACACCATTGGCTGAATTGCGTGAATAAATTTTTTAGGTGTTTCTCTTTACTTTAATCTGTATTTGTGTTACTGTTCTAACAATTGGTATCAAAGCAAGATACCGAGGTAGAAAATTCCATTTAGAACAAGATTCAGGTGGGCATTGAGGAGCCACCATTGAGTCAAGGTAGATTGTAGCCTAACAGTAGGATGAACCTGACTCAGATTCAAGTGGAGCGCAATATTCAGATGGAGGACAAGACTATACATTTGTACGTGATAGGGAGCCCCGTCGTATTACACCTCCAGCGAGATATAGATTTGAAGACGACTAGTTTAGGAGATCATTCTACTTTTCAAGAGGTTATGGCTAGCCATGAAAAAGATAAGTGGATGGGTACTATGGTGGAGGAGATGGAGTCATTGAAACGAATGAGACATGGGATCTTGTTCATCTACAGGGAAAGAGAGCAATTGTTTGCAAGTGAGTGTACAAGAAAAAGCAAGCAATAACAAAAAAAGAAGGGGAAATTTCAAGGCTCATCTAGTTGCAAAGGGGTATTCACAACAAAAGTGGATTGATTATGATCAGATTTTCAGTCCAGTCGTTAGACACACTTCTATCAGAGCAGTATTGACCCGGGTAGCCCGTAGGAATATGCATTTAGAGCAGATGGATTTGAAAACAACTTTCCTCCATGGTTATATAGAGGAGAAAATATGTAATCGCAAGTGTAATGCCCGGAGGCTGGTGATGACTAGGCCTTGGATATGAATCGTAGGTAAGTTGCCTAGTGACATTTTGATAGGGGTACCTTTGATGGTTGTATCCATTCTCAACCGAGATAGCTATAGCAAGATGAATGGATAATGCTGAGCTTGGATTTGAATTTGAGTTCGTCTTAGCTGGTAGTCATACCTTGAGATTTTTCTGCAGTTTTTCATGGGTATATATGATTTGAATGTAATGTATGTGTGCACGTTTGATATGATTATGTTTGATGTATATATGATGCATGATATGTATGCTTAAGATGATAATATTATGAATTGAAATGATCTGATGATTGATAAATGTAATGCCCATTTTATTTGAACTACAGAATCAGTGCCTAAGGCAGGCTACCAGCGCTGAGAACTGGTGATGAGGATTTAACTTCCAAATGGAAATTGGAACACTGCTAGACGATAACTAGATTTTTGAAATGATGCACCAGACAAGAACTGGGCTTTACACCAACGTTAGTAGGACTACTGGAATAGTACCATCTTGGTGGCTTGGAAAGGTGAAACAGATAGCAAAGTTGCTAACATCGGTAGGGTCACCAGAAGACGTCGATCAGGTGTTTGGAAAGTGTGAGGCTACTCACGACTTTTACATAAGGCTTCTTACGTATGGACAAAGAAATGAGGTTGTGTGAGTCTGCTCACACCTTATTTTGACAAAGAACGCTTGTATCATAAACTCATTGAGAGGGATAGTCAGAGAGATGTTAGAGATTATAATATCGACTCCCCTAGAAATTGACTCTAGATTTTTACGGGATCCTAAGTCTCGGTCTATGATATGTCATGTATGCGTGCAAATACAGGCGTTAATGCATAGAATGACTGACCAATGCATGTAATGGGTGACTTGAATATGCGTCAAGGGATGTTGAAATTTTGATGTGCCAATGAGAATTTGACTCTTTGTTAAATCCATGTTGTCGGAAGTCGTCAGCCAGATGAGATGATAAGCATAGTTTGATTCTGGATCAAAGTAACCTAATGAATGCATGACAATGATTTATGTAGACTCATGTGCTTTTGATTGATGCCCCTATGATGGGTCATGGTGATTAAAGTGTAGATGTTTGCTTATGCAACAAGGTTGCTTGTCACATGATGGTTGAATGTTATGCTATCATGATTTCTCGATACTCGATTTGAACTTGAAGATTGCTGATGTAGGAGAAAAATCCACTGGAGATTATGAAGTACTCAAAGAGCTTGCCCCTATGTGGACTGTCTTTCCCTAATTTGTTGGTAGGGTCTTGGAGGAGATTCTCATTGATATGAGCTTAGAAATAGTTTGATCATAATATGAATGACCCCACTATTTTTCACTATGCCCCTGATTAAAAGACTCTTGAAAATGTTTGGCTTTGGTGAACTATTTTGAATTAACTCCTTTTGATCGAGCCACGTAGTGGTTTTCTCCAACATTTGAATTTTGAAAGATGTGCCCCTCAATCTCTAGGATCTGGAGGGAGTACCCTCAGAAAGAACTTAGACCTCACCATGAACTTGACATAGATTGCCCCAAGTACTAGAATATTGAAAAGTTTGCACTTGAAGTTGCTTCAAGGGGAATTTGGACCCTACGTGCAGTAGGATGAACTTGGTACGTACTGCCCCAACATTTGAATCTTGGAAGGTTGCCCCTAATTATCAAGGCCTTGAGAGGTTTGTTAAAACGAGGAAATCGAGTCATATCCTGTTCTGATATGACTTGATTAAGGAATGTTCCTTCAAAAGGTATGCCCCAGATTGAACAATGCTTTGAAACTTGATCCAAGTTGATTGAATCTCGGAATGATCACCCATTATCAATAGTATCTTCATGTGATATACCCACATGATCATTAGTCTTGCCTATGATTATAGGGTTCTTCCTTAGATGCTTTTCCCCCCTGAAATGGATCGCTTTTGATTAAACCAAAAATTTTCTTGAGATTTCCTTGATACTAAGTATTGATTCGTATATAAAATTGTACATTTTGAAAAATTAATTCCGTTTGATGCACACGCAAGTTTTGAAATCGAAGTTTTGAATATAAATGGATGATTAGATATGAAGATTCAAAGAAGTGGTTAGCAATAACTTTAATACACATAGGAGTCAGTTTAACGCAAATTTTGCTGAGTATGCCTTCATAGTGAACCTAGCTTCAATTAGGACTTTTGAAGGTTGTAAAGTGGCCATGGTTCGTGGTTTAAGAAACAAAGGATATAAGGCTCAAAATTCATTTTAACCCACTACATTCTCCTTAATGTTCTTCAATCTTAAATCCAATTAATGCAACAAATGTGTTCAATCTTCAAGAGAAATTTCGTATGGACCATTTTCCTGTCCATCGGGATGTCCTATCTTTTGCCCAAGTTCAATTTTTTTTTGCTTTTTGTTCTTGACTTAGCGGGCTCTTTTTTTGAATTTATTTTTTTGCTTTTGATTTTGAAATTTTGTGACTGCCACACTGATGTTTATAAGCTTTGTCTTCATTGTTTTCCTCGATTTTGAATGATGTATTGAGGAAGAAGATGTCGTGGACTTTGTCTTTGTTGATTCCTCAATCTTGGATGATGAACGCGAGGAAAAGGATGCGCTTTGAACCTTTTCTTAGATCGTTTCCTCAAGGATGTATCGAGGAAAGAGATATGCTTGAACCTTTTGTTTAGATAAATCACTTCTCTTGATAATAGAATGCACCATTGAATTAATTGAAAGATTACCCTGCCCCTGGTTGAAATTAAGGTTTTTTTTATAGAAAAATAGAACAAAACTCCAACTTCTGGCTCGAGGGGATTGACTACGGATTATCTCCTTATTTCTCCAATGTTTAGGAAGTGAAACAATACCTTACATTGTCAGGTAAGTCTTACTATTAAAAAGCATACATCAGCAAAATTCAATTATTTAGTTTTCGTCATTCTCCCTCAACGTTTGTTAAATTTGTGTAATGGAAGATATAAAAGAAGAGTGAAAATGGAAAGTCGTTGATTATTTGTGCGAAATGATGAAAGATGAAGAGTGAAACGAATGAATTGATTTCAAAAATGTGCATGCTCATTTTATTAGTACTATTAATCCAAAGATACAAGTTCACACCAAATACAACTTAGCAACTAGGAAATCACAATTTGAAATTGATAATGTCTAATAATCATATCAAAGAGCTTTTTAGTTCGATCCACTTGGCTTCAGGAGAGCTTCTGGATGTTCTTGGACTTGTCAAAGCATGGGGATGACCCTTAACTTCTCTTTGGGTATATCAATCCT